GAGGTGACCCAAGTTTATTGGTGTGGGCCTGCATATTTGTGAAGGTAAAAATACTGATAAGGAGCTTAAGGAAGATAGTGGGACATGTCAATTCATGACTGGAAGTGAGGAATTTAATTGGGCATTTAAATGTCTTTTGCAGTTCTAACTGGAGTTGTCAAAAACATTTACATAAATCAAATATGATACACAGGGAAGAAGTTTGAAATGGGTACACAAAGGTGGGAAACATTCATGTTTAGAAAATACTTAAGTCACCAGAATAGAATGAAAATACCTAGAGAATGGCTATAGCCTTTAAAGAGAAAAATTCAATAGCTACTTAATTTCAGTATGGGACAGATTTTGAGCTAGAAACTTTATATTTACAATCTACTACTTAGGTATTTGTTCCCTCACTTTAAAAAAAGGTTTATTTATTAATTTATTTTAAAGTCAAAGTTACAAAGAGAAAGAGGAAGACACAGTCAGAGACACAGAGACAGACAGTGACCTATTTTCCATCCACTGGGCCAGTCTTCAAATGGCTGTTAATAGGCTGGGCCACACCAAAGCCAGAAGCTTCTTCCAAGTCTCTCATTTGTATGCAGGGCTCTAACCACTCAGGTCCCCTTCCACTGCTTTCCCAGGAACATTAGCTGGGAGCTGGATCCAAAGTAGAGTAAGTGGACTTTAACTGGCACCCATATGAAATGGCAGCATGGCAGGCAAGAGCTTTACCCGCTGCCCCACAGAGCCAGCCCCATTCCCTCACTATTAACCTGAGGAAATGAAAACTCCAGCGTTCAATGACTCATCTGACTCTACTTAGCCAGCCATGGGGATCAACTAGGACTGCTCATGCCATGACATGAAAAGTAAAAACACAAATGTGTGAATGTTAGCAGGTCAACCTAAATAGCTAAAGAGATAGAATTAACTAAATAGGTGTGCCCTGACACTGATACTGTCCCCAGATATGTATCTCCTCTCTACATTTCAACTACCATGAGACGGATGCTCTTTAAGGAAACCACGAGACTGCTGAAATACGATAATGCTCACATGGTACTTCCTCATCAATTTCCTGAATTTAACAAAGCCTCACACCATGAGTAAGCAGAACATTTCTAGCCTAAGAGAAGAATGAGGAGCAACCACTTCTAAGGAGAATGGGTATAGCTAATGTGCACTGCATTTTAGGGACAAAGTTTGGATGTTCTCATAGGGCATTAAGGAAACAATACATGAAATCAGAGGGAACAAACTTTAGGAATGAAAACTAAATATGAATCATGTGAAACCACCAAAGAGACAGACACTGTTAGCCACAGTGGGAATTTTTACAGCATTGCATTTAACCTCACAAATCTATTGGTCCTACGCAATAGGTTTTGGTTGACTGACAGTCTTCAACAACTTTGTTTTCATTGTCTTCTCAAAAGTATAGCCTTTTCCAACTGCTAAAACATAACGTAGAGCCAAAAAATGCCTGATAAGCTTCTTCCAAGTCTTCCTACAGGCCAATGACCCAATGAAAGGGTCACTGCTATTGCACAACCACAAAGACCAAAAAGCAGCACAGTACTCCACACCGAAGGAACAGGGACCGACATATGCAAATGTGAAAGCTTCCATTTCCCCAACTGTAAAGCCACACCTTGAAGTAATGCCCTTCTGGTTCTGCGGAAACAAGCAAGGGGAGTTGTACTTGGGGCCTGCTGAACGAGATTATGTCTTGGCAGAAATATTTGGGTCACGCTTTAATCTGGATGAAACCTAATGGGAGGTTGTGGATGAATTACAGGGAATTGGTTCATTTCAGTTCCCTTCCTCCTTGATTCCCCATGCTTGCCAATTCCAGGAGTTACATTCCATACAGACAAAGTTCCGTGGAGACAAGTACTTACTTGCTGGAGAGGGTTGCTATAGAGTGAGTGAAAGGACATTACTCATAAAATAATAACCTTCAGGAGAATAAAATGGCACCTTTGAAGCCTGATCTTTGTCTTCCCTAACAAGAATTTTGGTTCCTTACAACTCTGTGGCTCTTATTGGGTGCCTCAACAAAAAGTGTCTTATCATTTTATTTTTGTATTTTTCACATTGCCCAGCAGAGTAACCATAACAGTGGTATGTGGTAAATGTTTCTGGAGTGGAAGAACAGAGATGATTCTGCAAGTAGATAAACCCTATCATTCAGATTCTTATTCCTCTATTTAGGAGTTGCACTAACCCTGCCTTTTCTTCCGCTTCTCCCTTGTTCAACAGACTTTAGTGACTTCGTGTTTCCAATAACATGACTGGTTTCTCTCTAGATGTACTGACATGTCAGGGACTGGGATTAAAGTACCAAAGGATAAACCATCAAATACCAAATACCTCCTTGTGAGGAATATTTTTTGTTTGGGTTCCTGGGCTATTCATTCTCCCTACTTTACTTATGTATTTATTTATTTATTTATTTGATTAGCTGAAGGTACCAGCTGAGAAAGTGAAGGAGTTGGATGACATACATAGAAAATAGAGTGGAAAAGTCATGGAGTTGAGAGGAGAAAGAATTCAGAGAAAGAAAGCTATCTGGAAAAGTTTGGGCTTCATGAGAAAGGGCCAAAGGGTATTTAAAAATTGTCATTAGTCAGGATAGAGTTTAGTGAAAAGACTGGTTAATGGGGGAAGAGAATTCTGAGGACATTTTCCTATGCCAAGTGTTTTGTTTTCCTTACAAAATAACCTTAAAAATCTTTCAAGAAATATTTCAGTATTTATTCAGGAGTCTGGCAGCTAGAGGTGTGTGAGTGCGTATGTGTGTTTGTGTGTGTGTGTGTGTGTGTTTGTGCGTGTGTGTGTGTGTTTTCTGACATTAAAAAGGCCCTTTTATTCCCTAAAATATAGGCGATATATTTTACATTCATTCGATTGATGATTTATTTTATTACTATAGAGCACACTGATTGATGGAGATCCATCATTAAAAGTGCCATGCCCAAAGAACCTAGTTTGTACCACTGGCCACAGAATCAGAAGAATATGGTGGCCACAGAAGGCAACTCTGAAACTAAAAATGTGTGAAAATAGAATAGAGTGTCAGAGGAAGAGGAGCTGCCCAGAAGGTGCTAGCAATCTGGAGACTTGTTGTAGAGGATGTTTGATCGAGCAATGGAGGAAACAGCATGCTTTCAGATAGCAGACATGGCATTTTTTTTTAAGTCTACAGGCTTTGCAAAAGTCACAGTCAAGGAACACACTCCGGATTTCAAGTTAGATGTCTGATTCTATTCTGGGGGAATTCGGTCCCGCAGACTAAATGGATGCTGCCACATCTTCTGTGGAAAGCCTCTGAGAGTTCATTGGCCTCTCTTGTGAGGCTCTGCTGGTCCTTGAAGAACTGCTCCCACTTTTCATGCTAGTCGCATTTCCACCTTTCTTGTTTCTTGTCATTTTCATGATTAAACCACAAAGAAAACAGAGATGGCATCTGAAAGCTCTCACTCCTCAGGTGACCAAGCCCAGCACCCCAAATGGAAGCCCTGGTCTTGTATCAAGGTGACACTATCTCCCTTACTACTCCTGGGGGGAGAGCTAGGAAGGTTCTACTAGGCTTCTGAATTTAGTTCCTGACCTATATGTCAGAAAAGAAATAAGGCACTACTTCGTGCGGGAAGCGCCCAGTTACAAACTGACTGCCAAGACCGTCACATCCTTCAGGTGTGTTAAGAACAGGTCACAAGGTGACTATGAGGATTGAATTGTTCAATGAAGACATTATTACCCAGCAGTTACAACAGTCAACAGAGTTTTTCAACATAGTGTCAATGTGAGATTATTCATTTCAAATAAAGTATCAATTTTCATCATTAATTTCTGTTCCTCTATATTTTTCATTAAGTAGTCATTTGTCCTTCCAAAATATAACACTGAGGCAATCAAGTATTTTTAAATACAGCCAAAGGATGTGACTGTTCACCTGTAGCTGCCTGTATGCTTAACAAGAACTCCTGGTATTATACAGTTGTTTGTAAATGATAATTCTCACTGAGTTGGGCAGCTGAGTAGAAATACCTTACAACTCCAGTTTTCTGCCCTCTATTAGTCATTAAAACAGGTGACCAGAACTCCTAAATATCTTACATGATTAATGCTCAGCAGATTGTAACAGTTTTCATCTTTTTGGGAGCTATAGAACCAATTTAAATTTTAAATTTCCGAGACTGGTGCCATGGTGCAATAGGTTAGGACCCCGTCTGTGGTGCTGGCAGCCCATTTGGGCAGTGTTTCCTGTCCTGGCTGCTGTGCACAGTCCTTCTTATGGTCCTGGAAAGCAGAGCAGGATGCTGTAAGTCCTGGGGCTCCTGAACCTATGTGGGGGAACTGGAAGAAGCTCCTTCCCCCCAGCTATGGATCCGCTCAGCTCTGTGGCCATCTGGGGAGTGAACCAGCGGATCCAAGATCTCTCCGTGTCTCTCCTTCTCTGTGTAAATCTGACTTTCAAAGAAAAGTAAATCTCTAAAAATTTAAATTTCAGTCTTTATTTGGCTTTTAACTCTGATAACCAAAACCTGATCCTATTCCTAGTACAAACAAGAGTTAGCAATAAGCTACGCTAAGGAAAAACCGAGGAGGCTGTCCTGTGCGGGACGAAACCGCAAACAAGTTCTGATACAAGTCAATTCCTTCAATAGTTCAGATTTCAACACAACTGAATCTGGAGTCGTAGTTTACAAATCTGCACAGAATTTATAGAGATGTGCTACTCATTCCTCGCTAGAGACAATGTTCAAAACAGCGTGGTCTATTGCGCACGACAATCTGGTGCAGATCCGGTGCTTTACCGTGCAGAGCTGTAACACGTCACGCTTTCCAGGGACCCGAGGGCTGACACCGCTCGGTGAACAAGGCCCGCAAAGGGCTCCACCAGAATTCCTACACTACGCAATTGTTCTTCTGTGAACTCAACCCTATTCTGAGGTCAAACGTTAAAAAAAGAAAGAAAAATCCACGAAGACCAATGGAACAATTACCTCAGAATCCTATTTCCGGTGCTTGCGCGGCCGCGGTGCCCACTCTTAAAAAGCCAGAGGACCCCGACTCCTAGAGTCTGGATGTACCAGTTTTCCTGTTCTGGGTGAGGCAAAAAGTGTCCACACTCAGAGAGTTCGGGAATTTTCGAGGGGGCGCGGTAAGGTCCACTCTGGAGACGCGGCCCCAGCAGTGCGCTCCCAGGCTGCCCCGCGGTTCCAAGCCACGCCCCAAGGCGCCCTCATGGTGGGGTGGGCCAGGTGCCTCGGCCTAGGGATTTATTCGGACAGAAACTGTTGCCGGTTGTACATTTTTTTGTACGATAATTATTCTCATGTTGTTTTTATTTATTTATTGATGGCAGACAGAGGGCTGGGGGCGATTCGTAGTGAATGGAAATAGAGAAGAAAGAGCAACTTCAACTGCAGCTGGCAGTTTATTGCATTATCATGCTATAGTAACTGAGGAATTGTGCAAAGTAGTAACTGTTGCTAGATCTTCAGGCCACGAATCAAATGTAAAAATACTGAAACTAGAAATACTGGAAGCATTGTTCCTTACTTCTAATATCATCCCCATTGTAAATATCGCATTTGATCTGATCAGACCGGATTCCTGATTTCTCCAGTTCTAACAATTTTACAGTGTCTTTTCACTTATGTTAAAGATTAATATCTCCCATTTTACATGTAAGTGTACCTTTAATTCTATCACTTTTATTTTGTACTTCTGGAATACTCAATTGAAGTTACTAACCAATGTTTAGGCTTTCCACCTACAACCTAATAAAACAGAGGCGATCTGTGACTGCAGCGGCGCGCTCATATCTGCTTGGTCTGTTTTTCAAGAAAGCCTGGAGTTGGACAAAGATCGCAGTGCAGTGGCTCCTGATTAAGCTGACAATACTTGCTGAGTTCCCTACGGTACAAGCGGTGACTTGAAATTACATTGCAAGGTAATTACATTGTAAGGTGCTTAGGCCCCAAATTCAAGGTGTCATCCTTGCCTCTTTCTGATTGTCTCCCTTTCCTGTCCCTCCCTAGCACCAGCCAATCGGCTTGCCTCCACCCCTAAAAACATCAGTCCAGAATCTGATGCAATGCCACTTAAATTGTTCTGGTCCAGTCCTCCAACCCCATTCCAAATGACTTCAGTAGCCTTCTAACTATCCTGCTGTCTTTGTGTCTACCCTGTTTTCCATGTTCTACCTAATAAATAAAACATGCGACGCATTCAAGCTTTGCATCAGACAGATTAGCAATTTTACAAGTATAATTCAATGTCAAATTCCCAGAGGATTCTTGGCTTCGCTTATTTTAGGCATGCACCTCTGAACCAATCCGTCTGAACCGGGAGACAGTATCACTTGATCACAACGTCGTTACTCAGGCTCATCATTTTGGCAAGAGGACCTATTTACAAAAGGGGGCTTGACCAAGGTGTACCAACTAATTACCATCTCTGTTACAACTTGTGAATAATTTAAAGTCAATATTCTGTTAAATAGTGCAGTGAATCAATTATTGACTTCTACATATCCTTTGGGATTCAATGAACTGAACCAAAGCCAATAAAAGTGAATGCCACTGGGTGAGGTGAATTTGGCCTACCTTCCAGAAAGATTTTGCCAGTAAATAATTATTCATTAAGATACCTGTTAAGTTTATGTTATTCATCACAGAGAGCCTCCAGTGGGTCCTCTAAGACAGCACCTTCGTTAGTCTGGTAACTTTTACACTGGATTACCAGGAATAGCAAATGCAGGACTGTTAGGAAGTCTCTGTGTCTACTTCCTTCCACTGCCAGATAATGCTGATAGTTTACTGGAATCCCTGTGTGTGTGTACATTCTCTTATAAAATATTAAAAAATTTTATTCAATTAAAAAATTATTTAGGGCCTGGCAAGGTTGCCTAGTGGCTAAATTTCTTGCCTTACACACGCTGAGATCCCATTTGGGTGCTGGTTCTAATCCCAGAGGCCCAGTTTCCCATCCAGCTCCCTGTTTGTGGCCTGGGAAAGCAGTCGAGGAAGGACCAAAGCCTTGGAACCCTGTACCCTTGTGGGAGACCTGGAAGAAATTCCTGGCTCCTGGCTTTGGATCAGCGCAGCTCTCGCTCAAGCTGTTGTGGCCAAGTTGGGAGTGACTCATCAGAAGGAAGATCTTCCTCTCTGTCTCTCCTCCTCTGCATATCTGACTTTGCAATAAAAATAATCTTAAAAAATGTATTTATTTTAAAACATTAGGGAGAGAGATAAGGAAAGTTAGAGAGAGATTTTGTAACGGTGGTTCACTCCCCAGGTGGCTGCACAAGTCAGGGCTGGGCCTAGCGGAAGCCAGCAGCCAGGAACTGCTTTCAGGTCTTCTACAAGGGTGGCAAGGGCCCAAATACGTGGGCTCTGCTCCCTGCTTTTCTCAGGGCTTAGCCAGGAGTTGGATCAGAAGTATTGCAGCCACAACCAGACCTGGTGTCCATCTGCACCACTTGCATCCCAGGAGGTAGCTTCACCTGCTATGGCAAATGTCAGCTCCAGTTTGCTTTTTTTATTTTCACTGCACTGCTTAGTGCAATCCCAGTCCAGCTAAATGTAATCTATATATTATTTGCTGGTGGTTTGCTATTGTATAATCATGTTCTGATTCATTCTTTAATAAGCACATAAAGAAGAATTCCATCTGGGCGAATGCTACTTGCCCAAAGGCAAAAAACTAAACTTTTGAATGACTTGGAATCAACATATTGATTCATTCATGAAAAGGAAACGTTGCTGGGAAATTATAATAAGTAAAATCCTCCTCTATGCTAAAGTGTACAATGAATAATATAAATTATTATAATTTCTTCATACTCCAAACTTAAAAATTTTAATTTCAAATGAAATTTCTAAATTTTAATTTACAGTTGATAAAAAAGCATTTACCTAGTAGAAATATCACTGCTCTGAACATGTATTAATTTTTATATTTGCTATGAAAAAGGCAGCCGTTGTTGGGTACTGATATTTTAATCAAGTGGATTTCATGGAGATCTTGGGGAGGATGGATTCAACGTTCATTAAGCTAACTATTCATGCTCATCTAAAATTCCACAGTCTTTAACAACATCTGTAGAAGGTCAACATCAGCTCATGATCTAGTGTCAGGGTAAGAAAATAAAAATATAATATAATATAATATAATATAATTTGGAATATATATATATTATATACATATAATATATATAATATAATTTGGTATATATATATAGGGAGCTGTTTTAAATTGGTGACCTCCTGACGTCTCTTTCATTTGAATGACTCTGATAGAATGGGAAATTGACATTTTTCAGTATTGACAGAGTGCTACGCAATGTAGTGAACTCGTCTGCTATTTCCCCTGCAGTGTATGCTTAACAAAGCCCAAGGAAGAAGGCAGTTTGAATCTTATTTAACATATGAGCAACATGACCTTCAGGAAAGCCACAATTTTGTACATACTCCCAGGGCCTAGATTGGCATTTGTGGCTTTCCACTACTATGTCACAAGAACTCTCAAGGAGGAACTGTCCGTTGTCCAGAAAGTTTCACGATCTGATGATGACAAGATTATCTAACACAGTCATTTTAGACCTATAGGAAGAGGGTGGTGTTGCGGCTCAGCAGGCTGGGCCAGCACTAGGAGGGCTGCATCTCACACCGGCACAGGTGGGTGTCCTGGCTGCTCTGCTTCTCAACCAGCTGCCTTGCTAACACGCTTGGAAGGCAGAGCTGGCTCAAGAACTTGGAGGTGCAGTTCCATGTTCCTGGCAATACCAGGGGTCATTGTAGTTACTTTGGGGAGTGAACCAGTAAGATCTTTAGGCCCCTCTGAATAAATAAAGATAAATCTCAACAAAATCTTTTCTAAAAAGTAATTTAAATAAAATCTAGATACAGTCTCACCATGAAAAGGTGAGGCTGGGATTTGCTTTATGATTTGGCGTCATTTCTGCTGTTAAGAAGCTCTCTAGGTAATTCTGATACTTCGTTCCCTACTTCATTAAATGCTCTTACCAGCTCTGTTCCCTAGGTGGGTTTCGGCTCCTTTGGCTTCAACTGCGCCAGCGTCCCTGTATTTCCAGCCGATTCCTGGCCAGGTCAATGCTTTCTAAATTCATCACAGTCTTTCAGTTACTTGTTTAACGTTTAGGTCGCTCCTGGTTGACTGTGATAGGCTTGCTGCAAAGCTAGAGTTGCCCTGTTAGGTCTTCAGTACATAGCACAACGCCTCAGAGCTGATAACGTGCATTTCAGAGAACAAAAGTCCAGGGCTTCCTGGAAATAGCATTTTAAAGTCTTCCTATTTGTTTTATCGTTGCTCCTAGTGAATTAGTAAATGTTCAGCTACAACACAACTTTTCGGAAGTTTCAGCAAGTGTAAGACACCCTGCAGAGTATGCGGAAGCTCCGTGAAACTACATTTCCCTAAATGCTCGAGCACCCGTCGTCGTTGATTTGCTGGCTGTTTTGAAGACAGGTCACGTCTGCCAATACTTTGGGGAGAATTTCAGCGGCCCGGGCAGGAGGCGACCAATCGCAGAAAGGAGGCGGGAGCATGTTTTGGGTTTGGAACAGAATAAACCCCGAGCAGCTGTCGTGAGGCTTTTCCCTGCACCGCAGGGGGAGGGAAGCTGTTTGCCCGCAGACTGCCAGGCCTCCTCGCGTCTCCTTAGAACTCAGCTTTCTCTGAGTGCCTCCTGCCTCCCGTTCTCTACGCCCTTCCTGCCCGTCTGCCTCTCTCCACCCGCCCTTGTAGACCGCCCCCCAGCAGCAGGTTCGCTCCCTTCCTCAACTTAAGCCAGACGAGAGAGAGAGAGAGAGATGGGGACTTGGGAGCAGAAACTTATTTCCACTCTCCCATGCAAGCGTGGGGAGCCTCCCGCTGCACTGCTGACTGGATAATCAGCGCACGCAGCTTCAGAAAACGAGGGGCGGCAGGGGTCCTCCGCGCCCACCGCCCGGCTACGGGGGGACTCGGGGTGCCCGGTCGGGTGTTCGCCGGCTGCCTGCGTGCAGCTGTCGGGAGGAATCCGCGTCTGCTCTCGGGGCTTCTCTTCTTCTCCAGTTCCTCTCCAAGCGTGCCATCCTCTCGCCATAATCGTCGCCAAGATTCCCTCGCAAAACCGAAATCCCAATTAGTCCTAAACAAACGTCACCCGGGAAGCAAAGACTGTGTGTACGGGCCTGGCAGCCAGCGGCTGGGGAGGGACGAGGACCTCACTGAAAGGGTTGAAAGCATAAACCTTCACTTTCCTGAGCAAACGTCAAAGGCAGGTTCTCTTGCGGCTTAGGTTAGTCGTCCCCATTTGCGCCATGCCAGCTGCCGCGAAGCAACAGCTGCGTGCTCTGGCAGCGCCATTAAGGAGGGAGCAATGTAGCCAGCGTCTGGGATTTTCGAAAAGGATCCTTCCGAAGCCGGCTCGCGCTCCGCCGGGGGCTGAGGGGGTGGGGAGGCTGCGGCGCGCCTGCGCATGCCCACAGCCCGGCTCGGCCGAGGCCCAGCAGCCGCCACCGGCGCTGTGACCGCGGCCGCCGCTGCCCGGGCGGGGGTTGGTGCCGTCAGGCGAGAGGGAGCGGCCGCGAGGGGAGCGCCACAGGCGGCGGCGCCTCCGGAAGGAGCCGAGGCGGGCCGGCGGAGCGAGGCGGCCGGCGGACGACAGCCACAGCCCGGGGCTGCTTGGCGTGCGATGCCGGGCGGGCAGCGGCGCTGAGGCGGCGGCGTGTGTGTGTGTGTGTGTGTGTGTGTGTGTGGCGGGGGGAAGGCCGATCGAGAACCGTCGACCCTTCGGGAAGAAGAGCGGGAGGACGCGCCGCGGGAGTGCGGGGTCCGCGTGGGAGAGAGGACTGGCGGGGCCGCGGGCCATGGACGCGGCGGGGGCGAGCCGAGGTGGCGGCGCGGCGCAGAGCCCGCCGGCCGCCAGCTGAAGCCGGGCACAGCGGGGCTTCGGGCGCCGTCGCCGCCGCTGCTGCTGCTGTTGCTGCGGTCGCTGCTGCCGCCGGCTGAGGAGGAGGAGGAGGCGGCGGCGGCGGGCGAGCGGCGGCCGCCCGGGAGCGCGAGGGGTCGCCTCGCTCCCGTCGTCGTCGCAGCATTTCCTGCTCGGATTATCTTCGGCTCTTCCCCACCCCGGCACCGAGCCCGCCTCCTCGCCCTCACTCTTCCTCCCGTCGGAGGAGCTGCCCTCGGCCCCGGCCCGTCCGCCCCTGCCGGGCACCCTCGGTGCCTCCCCTCCCGGACTGCGGGTTGAGCTCCGCCGAGACCATGAGGAAATTCAACATCAGGAAGGTGCTGGACGGCCTCACGGCCGGCTCCTCTTCGTCGTCTCAGCAGCAGCAGCAGCAACAGCACCCGCCCGGGAACCGGGAGCCCGAAATCCAGGAAACGCTCCAGTCCGAGCACTTTCAGCTCTGCAAGGTGAAGGGAACGCGCATCCCCGCGACGCCGTCATCGGGGAGTCGGGGTCTTTCGGGGGGCACTGAGGGCTGGACTGGGGGGGATGCCACGGAAGAGAGAGAGCAGTCCGTAACCGTAGCTCTAACAGAGGGCTGGCTCTTCCCCTGGCGAACGTTGATGTGGGGTTGTTTTGGACAACGGGTCTCGCTGCTTTTCCTTGAACCCCTCTTCCCGTTTTCACATACAGCAGTGGGTTCAAGGTTGCTTCAGACGCATTATCTGATGTTTAATTCGTCTTCTGACACTGCTAGTAAACATCGGAACGCTTTTAGGGCTAAACATTTGAATCTAATTCACGCACTTCCAAGTTTCCTTTGGAAATAGTGTCTAATGGATATTGTTTATCAGAATGCCGAACCTGCTCAACCAGATCTGTGTTCATCACTTTTCCTTTAAAATGGGTTTGAGCAGCGTACACGATGAAATCGCAGGGTTTTTTATTTTTTTGTCACTGTGTTTGTTTAAGAGTTATTACTGTTATTTTTACCAATTAATGGCACTCCGAGTGCCATAGCATTCTGTAATTGAGAAAGAATGATGCAGCGAATTAATTCACCCATTGCTCCGTAAGCACTACAAAACTTGTCTTGGGGTTAATTGCTGCCTTTCTCATAAACAGCCACTCGATCCTGTGGCAGAGTTTCTTAAAAGTGTACACGTTTTGTCCCAAGTCCCTGAAATTATCGTGGAATTAATCGCAAATTGCAAAAAAATGCGAGTGGATGTTGCACTCGTTTTCATTCTTTTACGTTTGCAAGATGTTGGGGTGGAGGCTCAATAATTGCTTGACCAGATTCTTTGGCTGAAGTGATTATATGACAGCTTTTCCTAGGAAGTCCCATGATTTAGCATCCAAATGCAGGAATGATGGAGGGGCTCCTCTTGGAATAATGCACACATTGCGCTCTTAACACAAATTGCAGAATCTGGCGCCTGTGCAAGCTTTTGCGATTTGGTGTCTGACTTAATATAGAAAAGTGTGAGATTTTCTTCTACGAGAAGCAAAATATAAAGTGTCATACCGAGATTTTTTGCTTGATTCCGGTTCCCTGTCGGTCACTTTGTTCATGCAGATTTCACTCTTTGGGTTAAATTTTGAAGCAGTAAATGCGTGTGTCTGTGCTTGGTTGTAGTTGTGTCTGCATTCTAACGCCTCGACTGACATGTCTGTTTTTCCCTTGCGCTGGATGCCTCGGTCGCTGTGATGTCACTCACCCGTGCCTAGACTGTTCGCCATGGATTTCCCTACCAGCCCTCAGCCCTGGCCTTTGATCCTGTGCAGAAGATCCTGGCAGTGGGCACGCAGACTGGTGCTTTAAGGCTGTATCCTTTCCGTGATTGTTTTTTTTTTATACTGGGTGCTCCCCAGTCCTTCTGTGTTCCTGATTAGTTCCAAAGAAAACATTTTTTTTTTCCTTGTTTAAGTCAAAAGACATGGTATGTTGCTGGTTTTCGCCTCGGTTATACTTGTGGCTTGTATGTTGCTGTGATATTTTTGTGGTTTCTAGCCAATAAATGTGGATCCGCCTAGAAATCTAAAGTTCTGTCCTGGTAGTTACTTTCTGTGCAAGAGGCTAGAGCTTTCCAAGGGCAGACATAAATGTATGTGCAAATCCTAGTGATGTATTGGAAGGGGTGTGTTAAGGGTAAGTTGTGAAAGATGGGGTGTGTTCATGCTGCTTGTTTCTTGGAGTGTTGTGCATGGTAGACATTGAACATGAGACCTGCGTGTTATTCTCATGAATTATAGATTTGATTTGAATTTGAGTGTAAGTGTTTCTAAATGTCCATCTGGAAAAATCATTAGCAAAACACAAGTACTGTAGGTTCTGTGAGTAGCCAGAAAGGGGCAGTATTTCGTGAAGTTTCAGTGTTTTTGTATATTTTGTATTCTGCACATTTTTCCCCTTACAAGTGTACGTTTGTTGTTTGTAATATTCATATGTAGTTGTGTGCTGACGTATCAGCTTAGTAATGACTCTTTCTTGGTTCTGTGTTAACTGCAGTACTTTTGTCATGAGCATTTCCTCAAATACTTTAAAAAATGAGTTTCAGGATCATTAGTGTTATTCTGAAAAATGGAGATTGCCTTTCGCTTTTCTACCGCTTAACTTGGAAATAAAGTTTGTATTGCTTTCACTATAGCTTTTCACTATGCATAATCTGAATATTCTTATTTTTAAACCTAAACAGAGTTTTTTCTTTATAAATGCTTTACTTAGCTATCTGTAGGATATGTGCCTCCTATATTATTTAGGAAATGTGTTGATAATAGAGAAGAAATCACAAGGTGATCTCAGTAAACTATCAAAAGAATGGGCATGGGCCGGGAGCTTCAGCCCTCTGCATTTTAGATTTATCTGCTTTGAGTCATGCATTTTACTCCTGATCCCTCAGACTTACTTTCTCTGGTATCAGGACACGCCCACATCTTGATTTACTGTGCTATCTTTAGAACAGAAATAGTCTGCTCACCTGTGTTGGAAGTGAAGTCCATCGTACATAGTAAATATTAGTGGTGCAGTCCCGCCTTTTTCGATACCTACGTCTGATGACCTAGATCTGAATATGTTCATTTCTGAGACAGTATGTCTAAACTGTTCTTTCCCCAACATTTTACGGATTTTAATTCCTGAATTTGATGGTTAAGATCTTCTACTTTAGATTCATGATGATAAAAGTGAAGTTAAATTTCGTCAGTGTGAGGATTGCGTGTTGAGCAGAAGCTCTACTAACAAGACTAGTGCATTGTTCTGGCCGAGTTCTTGGGAACTGAAGGCACATTTTGTTTCTCCAAGAAAAGAATTTCATTACTGGACTAACAAAAACAGAGTGAAGTTGAACTTAGTTCAGTTAATTTCTATATTATTTAGCTCTTCTTTTAAATAGGTTCAGTTTTTACTTTTTTCCCAGTGTTGTGTCAAGAATTTCATATCATATTATTTTGGTCTTTTTAATAGCCAATCTGGATCTTTTACAACTTGAAATAATACATGACTACCGCTACTACTAAGAGTGGTTTTACAAAACAACCAAAAGCTCTTCTTAGACAACACTTTTAACCCTAACAACTTTGAATAATTGTCAAATTGACATAAAAATTGTTTGTGAAAAATCTAATGCCAGTTACTGTTAAAAGCCAGAATCAATTATCAAGTCACTAGATATGTGACTTTTGGCATATGTGTGCAGTTACATATTACATGAGGAAAAGTGAACCTGTATTTTTAGTTTGCAATTATTTTTCTCATTGCCTCCTTGCTATATTTAGAATGCAGACTGGAAAACTGGTTAGCAAATCTTTTACATTCCCTTTTTATGAGATTTTTATCAATGTATTAGACTGGTAAATTGGCTTGACTACCAGTAATACCACTTGATCATTCTTTCTGCTAGGCTCAAGGAGCAGATAAGCTAGTGTATGTTACATATTGCCACTCTGATTTATAGAAAATACTAAGGCATTTTAATTTTGATCTTGTTTTTCATTTATGTGGTTTAAGATATACGTGTTTTCTCTGTTGTTTTTGAAACAGGATATCTGAATTTATAGATTTTACTTCTGAAGCCTCATACTGGTTAACGTACAGATTATTACAACTCTGTTACCTTTGACCTTTTATGTTTTTCCCGACTGCAACTGGTTTCTGTTTGTCTTATCTCCGTTGTCTTACTATTACACTTGTGTAGTCCATGCTGTAAGTATCCTAACGGGTGTCTATAGGGCAGAAATATATTTTTAGGCAGAGTCTTCTCTTTCATTTAACCACAGATAGAAAGGAGATGTCTTCAGTAGAACTGTGGTGTTAGAATTCCAAATCCATGTTAATTTGACAAATTAGAGTTTTTCTAAGATGGAGATCATATTAAATTTGTCTAGAGTTCAAAATTAAGTACTACGTGAGAAAATTATATGGGATGTCTGATTTTTGTAAAAATTAGTAAAGCTCTGAAGACTTAAATAATTCTAACCAACAGTAAAACAAAATGAATTTAGTGTATCTGCATTAACCTATAGCAAAAGATAATATCACTGTAAACACGCACAAATGCTCAACTTTCTGGACTTTTGGAGAGACTATGAGGTTGAAAACATAATTATTGGTAAGCAAGAAAGTGCCCTTTTATATACTGAGTCATACAGTAGTGATATGATTTAATGACCTTAATTCTGTTCTTCTATGTCATTTTGGTTCTTAGGAGCAAATTGAGAATCAGAGCTATTGGAATAAAATAATCCATTGTTTATTTCAAAGTGAATAAGTGAAAGTAAAAACACAATATAGTTTTTAACTAAAGAACAAAGGCATTCTTAATAATTCTGCTTTTTTCTTTATCTGGACTTCTGGATTTTTAGTATGATTTTGAATTACATTGTAATATAATACAAGCATGGTCTACCCAGACCTTGTTATTAAAGTAAAATTATGACTACTGTAACAAGGACAGTTTATATATTAGCCTTTCAAAAAGAAAGCCAAAGAATAGGATTTCATATTTAATGAGTTTTTGTAAAAACTTGTGGTTTTGATGAAATGGTTATCAACTTATCATCAAAGGACCTAATTGTCTGAGTAATGGAAAATGCTGTGTAATAGGCAGTCTACTTTGATGAGTGAGGCCTGAACTGTCTTTTTAATTGCAATGTAATGTTGCTGGATGCATTATAGAACATTTTTTATACCTTGGAGATAATTTAATAAGTACCTATTAAGTGTTGAACAACATTAGATCATGTCACCTGAAATTTGATTTTTGTCTTTTTATAAAATTGCTTGTTTTACTAAGATTTTTCTTTTTCTTTTTTTTTTAAGGCAGAGTGACAGGTAGAGACAGAGATAGAGATCTTCTGTCTGTGAGTTCATTTTACAGTTGGCTGCAAAGGCTGAGACTGGGCCAGGCCAAAACCAGAAATCTGTTACTTCATCCAGGTTTCCAGTATGAATGACGGGGTCCTAAGCTCTTGAGCCGTCTTATGATGTGTGACCATGTACATAAGTGGGGAACTGGATTGGAACTGGAGAAGAAGACTTGAACTGGTATTGATATCGGATGTTGTTGTGGCAGATAGTGGCTTAACCTGTTGTGCTGTAATGGTGGGCCTAACCGGCCTGTGAGTTCATTTTTTACTACTATAACAATTAAGAGGCAGGGCTAGTGTTATGGCATAGCTAGTTAGTCTTCCACCTGCAGTGCTAGGATCTTGTGGGTACTGGTTCAAGCTGCAGCTGTTCCATTAATGATGCAGTTCCCTGCTAATGTGCCTGGGTAAAGCTGTGGAGGATGGCCCAATAACTTGAGTCCATGTCCCCATATGGGAGAACTGAAAAAAGCTCTTGGCTCTTAGCTTCTGCCTGACCAGGCTCTAGCTATTGCAGATGGTTGGGGATTGAACCAGTGTTTGGAAGACTTTTCTCTGTCTCTTCGTCTCTCTCTATGTAACTCTGCCTTTTAAATAATTCAATCTTTAAAAAAATTGAAGGTACTTTACTAGATGATTTCTTCAAGAAATTCTGGGATTTTCAGTAACTAAACATTATATGTAGTATAAAGGAAATGGAAACATGACCTTTCAAAAACTTTCCCATTTGAAGTCAGAGTTAGAGTGAGAGATCTTCCATCTGTTGGTTTACTCTCCAGATGGCCTCAACAGTTAGGCCTGGGCCAAGTCCAAGCTGGGAACAAGAAGCTTCTTCCAGATCTCACATGTAGGTAGTAGGAGACCAGTCACTTGGGCCATCTATCACTGCTTGTCCCAGGCCATTAGCAGGGATTTTGATCAGAAATAAAGCAAACAGGCTAGATTGCCTGGGATGCAGGCGCTGGTTTTACATACTATGCTACAACACCAGTCTTGAAGTTTGCTTTACATAGTAAAATTTTAGAATAGCAAGAAGTGGGAAAGTCACTCCAGACAAGGAAAACAGTATGGATAAAAGTATAGAAAAGGGAATTACCATGGTGGTTTGGATTATAGTAAGAAGGCCGAGGAACAATGATCCCAGTTGAGTTGGGGGGAGAAATAAGGAACCAGTTGTTGACCTTGAATGTTAATCAGAGGCATCTGCATTTAGTTAGGGAGCCTAGTTTTGAAGGAGATGATGACAGAAGGGCAGTATGACTTTTTGCATAATTAATAGGCCAGTGGTGCCATGGATGAAAATAAAATTTACCTCAAAGGTGACCATTAATCACAGGATAGTAACAGTGGACCCAAATGAGGTGTGGTATGATCAGGGATTGGGGAAGATTTTGATTATTTGTTTGCTTAAAATCTTGGGGACTAAATAAGGAGATAATGTTTTACAAATAAAACATTGAAG